TTCTAACGGAAATTTTGACAATTTTGACTTAGGAAGCATTACTGCCCCTAAAATGGAATTTTTACAGAAATCATTAATTGACATGATTTCTGATATGCTTAAAAACTCCATGTTTGATGCAATTCAAACTGGGGTAAAATTTGCAAATAATATTGTCATGACTTTAAAATTCAGTAATGGATTTTAAAGCATTAAACATTTTAAATTGGAATGCTCGATCTCTTAAAGATAATGAAGACGAGCTATTTAATTTTTTGAGAGTTCATAACGTGCATATTGCCGTTATAACTGAAACGTTCCTTAAACCTGACCATAAGGTTAAGAAGGACGCAAATTACTTGATTTATAGAAATGATCGTCTTGATGGACCCTGTGGTGGCGTTGCCATCATTATTCATAGACGAATCAAACATAAAATTCTTTCTTCATTTGAAACCAAAGTTTTTGAAACTTTGGGTGTTTCTGTTGAAACAAAATTTGGACAACTTACGTTTATAGCTGCCTATTTGCCATTCCAATGCTTAGGCCAGCAAAAGAATTTTCTCAAGGGTGACCTTCAGAAACTTACCCGTCATAGGTCTAAATTCTTTATTATTGGTGATTTTAATGCAAAACACCGCTCATGGAATAATGCTCATAGCAATTCCAATGGTAATATTCTGTTTGATGATTGTTCTGCAGGTTATTACACTATTCAATATCCAAACAGCCCAACATGCTTTTCTTCTGCAAGAAATCCCTCCACTATTGATTTGGTCTTAACTGATTCATGTCAACTTTGTAGCCAATTGGTTACCCATGCTGACTTCGGTTCTGATCACCTTCCATTAACTTTTGAAATATCCCAAGAAATAATTTGTAATCCCAACAGCTCTACTTTCAATTACCATAGAGCTGATTGGGAGCAATATCGAACATTTATGGAATATAACTTCGATCCAAACATTCCTTTGCAAACCAAAAAAGAAATTGATTATGCTCTTGAATCTCTGACTATTTCTATAGTTGAAGCAAGAGCTGCCTCAGTACCAAAATGCGAGGTTAAATTCGATTCTATTATAATAGACGACTTAAAAATGTCCGTAGGAGACAATATCAAAGAACACGCGATCCTGCCATGAAAGTTATCTGGCGGGATTTGCAAAAACAAATTAAAAAGCGATTATCTGCCCTGAGGAACAAAACTTTTGAAAATAATGTTTCTAAATTAGACCCGAGTTCCCTTTTGGAAACTCACAAAAATTTTGAAAAAACCTTTAAAGCCAATTCCAGCGCTTAAAGAATTGGTAAAATTTTGATCACAAATTTGGAAAAAGCTCAGAAACTTGCTAAGCAATTCGAGAGTTCCCATAATTTCAGTTTGGGTCTTACTAGTCCTATTGAGAATCAGGTTGCTCGGGATTTTCTGAATATTTTCTTTCGGGAAAATATTTTTGATGATTCCAGTCCCCCACTGATTTGGACGAAGTAAGGTCTATAACTAAAAAGTTTCAAAATATGAAAGCTCCAGGTGATGATGGAATTTTCTATATCCTCATCAAAAAACTCCCAGAGAGTACCTTGTCTTTATTGGTAAAATTATTTAACAGATGTTTCCATTTGGCATATTGTCCTGATAAATGGAAAAATGCAAAAGTTGTTCCAATTTTACAGCTGGATAAAAATCCAGCTGTAGCTTCTAGCAACCGCCCAATAAGTTTGCTTTCTTCAATAAGTAAACTTTTTGAAAAGATAATTTTGAATAGAATGATGCTTCACATCAATACGAACTCAATTTTTGCAGATGAGCAGTTTGGATTTCGCCATGGGCATTAAACTACTCATCAACTCTTAAGAGTTACCAATTTAATTCGTTCAAATAAATCTGAAGGCCACTCAACTGGAGTTGCTCTTCTAGACATAGAAAAAGCATTCGACATGAAGGTTTGATTGCTAAATTGAAAAAGTTTAATTTTCCACTTTACATTATGAAATGAGTTCAAAATTATTTAACTGACAGAACTCTGCAGGTAAATCATCAAAATTCCAAATCTTATCGACTACCTGTTAGGTCAGGAGTTCCTCAGGGTAGCATTCTTGGGCCTATATTGTATAACATTTTCACTTCGGACCTCCCTGATTTGCCTCAGGGTTGCCACAAATCTTTGTTCGCTGATGACACAGGCATTTCCGCTAAAGGAAGAAGTCTTCGTGTTATTTGCAGCAGACTTCAGAAAAGTTTAGATATTTTCTCTTCTTATTAACAAAAATGGAAGATTTCTCCCAACACTTCCAAAACTCAACTTATAATATTTCCACATAAGCCTAGAGCTTCGTTTTTGAAATCTAGTAGTAGTCACATAGTCACTATGCACGGAGTTCCAATTTCCTGGTCAAACCAAGTGAAATATCTTGGATTAATACTTGACCAAAAATTAACTTTTAAAGATCACATTGAGGGCCTCCCTGGTACAGTACTACCGAAGTACATAGAATTTCGAATGTTGAGACTTTAGAACAAATGTCCAACAAAATAATTAATAATTTGAGGCTAATATCGTTGCAATCCTCAATTGCAACGATTTTTTCCCTTTATACTTAGATAAGATTTAGTTTTAGTTTTTAGTTTTAAGAAATCAATTGTTATACTGACATGCAGGTTTAAAAAACCTGTTTAAAATATTGAATTGCCAAGACAGGAACAATGTAAAAACAATTAGATATATAAAATAAAAATTAAGGCTGGTAAGTTACTGTAGTAGTTGGAGCACCTAGGTTAAAATGAAATGTAATTTATTTTGAATTTGGAACAAATAAAGAGGTCTAGTATGGTCAAATGAAGACCTGGGAAAATGAAGTCTTCAGTTACTTGAAATAATTGTTTCCACAGCTTTGATGTAGAATGTCACCACCTATAACTTAAAACAAAAAAGTCAGATACCTGATTTTAAGTTAAAATGAGGACCACTCTTATACCCCGTTCACATTACAGCGTATATCACGTGATATACGCTGTCTTGCAATGAGCACTCATACATCTAGTTTTCACTGGAAATCCTATGTACTCATTGCAAGACAGCCTATATTACGAGATATAGGCTGTAATGTGAACGGGGTATTATCATCACTTATATGAAAAGATGGCCCATTTAATTATAATCAGCTTAGAAGCTTCGTAGAACTACGAAGGCACTCACTAAGAATCGGAGTGAATAATTCTATACAGAGCAAGAAAAAGGGCCTATCTGCTTTGATCGATTCTCTTAATCGACTGTCTCTTTCGTTAATAACTCAGCTGCAAAAATCATTCCCTGTTGTATTTGACGATTTGGACGATAGATAAAAACATCCTTTGCTATGTGGCAAAATTAGCCCGAAAACTGTTTGCATAGCCGTGGTTATCAAAAGAGAAAGTCGATGAAGTGAATCGATCAAAGTAGTTACGTCCTTTTTCCAGCTTTTCCTGTATAGAATTTATTCCCATTAAATGGTCGTTTCGGACCATAATGCACAGTGCACTGGTCTATCTATACACACACAAAGGAATTTAGCAAAAGAGCAAATTTATCAAGAGTTTTTCATTTTGAAAATAATTCATGCTTACAATAATGTCAATTAGCAACTGTGGTTGTGCTCAAAGGCTTGAGGGTAAGTTCAATTTGTGAAGAACAAAAAAATGTATTTGCGACATAGCTAAAAAGCGCATTTTGAGGTGTAGCATTTCCAACAGACATGCTAACAAGTAAGTAAGATGTTCTACCGAAATGGAATCTTATCCCATCTATCTAATGCCACATTCCATCTTCTGAAATTTTCCCACACCACCTTTTCATCGTCGGATCAAGTGTATCCTTCATTACGTTGCTATTCGTAAAGCATTCCGCAGAAAAGCTTCCAAACCGCACCGACATGATAGACACTGTTCCTTATCCCACGTACATCCATTCTTGGAAGTCAAACGAAAATAATCTCATCTGGAGAAATGACAATCTAAAAATAAATTGTGCACCTGCGAGCAGGGTTGGCTTGCTCCATTTATCACACAAATTGCTCGTTTGTTAATAACTCTGCTACCAGCATGGTTTTTCTTGAAGTATCTACTAGAAAAGAGTTTAGTATTCCTATAGGTTTGTCAAACACTTCTTCTTCATCCTCCTCCTCGCTTTTCAAGTTTATTGCGTATGGTATATTAGTTTATTGCGTGCTCTCAACTTAGTGTTCTAGATGCACTTCCACAGTTATTAATTGAGAGCTTTCGATGCCTGTACCATTTTTGCATTAATATAATTGTGTGGCAAGTACAATCATACTCTATGCCCAGGGAAGTCGAGAAATTTTCCAACCCGAAAAATTCCTAGACCGGACCGGGAATCGAACCCAGCCACCTCCAGCATGGTTTTGTTTTGTAGCTGTGCCTTTACCGACTGAGCTAAGGGAGGTTTGTCAAACACAGTAGATTCGTATTTAGGAGCTGTTTCACATTTTTGCGTCACAAAAATGAAGAGAGAAATAATCGCAGCTCATTTTGGACTTTCACTGAAAAAAACTAATTAGTGTGAATAGTGATTTAACTACTCTATTCGTGTGTACAGTGAATTCTATTCTTATTGTACCAATTGCTTAAAGTTAAGCCAAGGTTCATCATCTGACTGAAAAGTTATTAACAACAGATCAATTTGTATAAACAAATGAGCATGCCAACCCTGCCTGCGAGACTGGGACTTTTCTTGACATGAACCGTCTGAAATTTGCTCACCAAGATTTTACAATCTGTCGCTTAGCGTGTTTACTTTAAATTTACTTAATGATCGGTTGAAAAACATCACAGCGTGGGCATCAAATGTTATGGCTGAAAGAACCATTTCCACAGGAATATCCCACTCGGCCCAAGAATCCATTCACAATTGATTTGAAATTCATTGATGTTTACGACTGTGGAGGCGTGCTATTCATTGAAATCTTCATCCGTCACAAATTAAAAAAGTTTTCTGATTTGTGTTTCGTTTTCTCGTTTCTTGCAGGGTGGTTCGTAATACACGCAACCCGGTGTACGACGAGGATTTCACCTTCTACGGATTAACCCTGAGCGAACTGGCCGGTATGTCACTACACTTTGTTGTACTGAGTTTCGATCGATACAGCCGGGATGACGTCATCGGAGAGGTGGTTTGTCCGCTAAGTGGAATCGACTTGCAGCAGATCGAGAACCAACAGGTCGCCCTGAGCCGCGAGATACAACCGCGAAGCCTGAAGATCCGTGCTCAAGGTCGAGGGGAACTGTTAATTTCACTCTGTTGGCAACCGGCTGCTGCCCGATTGACAGTGGTTCTACTAAAAGCTCGCAATTTGCCTCGAATGGATGTTACGGGATTGGCCGATCCGTACGTCAAGATTTATCTACTGTACAATGGACAGCGAATCGCCAAGAAGAAGACCCATGTCAAGAAGCGAACGCTGAGTCCGGTGTTCAACGAGAGCTTTGCATTCGACATCCCGTCAACGGAAGGAGCCGGAGCTGCATTGGATGGAGTTTCGCTGGAACTGATGCTGCTGGACTGGGATCGGGTTACGAAAAATGAGGTTATCGGTCGCCTGGAATTGGGTGGACCAAGGAGTACCGGATCGGCACTAAATCACTGGAAGGAGGTGTGCAACTCACCTCGTAGGCAGATTGCAGACTGGCACAAGCTTAGGGAGTAAACATGGTAAGAACGGTTTTAGTTGAAGTTGTACAAACTCCCATGCAATTTGGGACGGTTATGTTTTATATGATTTAATCTTCTTTGATTTTTCAAATTTATTCCACGGGAGTGAAATGGAGTTGCTTCAATATTATATTGTTTCGACCAGTGATGACAAAATACAAATTAAAATCTGACTGTTATAGAGCTAAAACTGGCTAAAGCTGGCTTCTATAGTTTGTTATTAGTTGATAAGAAAAAAGACGACATGAAAAAAAAAAAAACAGCTGAATGAACTATTAAAACGACTATATAGTCATCACATCAGAAAAACACAAACTTCAAATCAGATTAAAAAAAAAAATAAACATAAACGCACCTTTGAGCCGAAACATGTTATCGCCATGTATAGAGATCGAACTGTTCTGCAAGTCATACCCCCCACAGCAAAGCATTTGCTTCAATAGATGAACAATTAAGATACACATCATCAATATATACACAAAAGACCTTCAAAAGCGAGAAAAAATTAACGAATTCAAGTTATGTGCCAGCCTACCAAAGCGAAAATAAAAAGATTCTTTATTGTCGAAAACAGGCGAAAACCAAAGGCATGTCACCGAGGTGTAGATACATTTGATTAAAGGTAGACACTGTAACAGTTGCATGCAGTTTCTTGAATGACGGGACTGAGTAACACACGTGGGACACATTTCACACAAATACACAAAGACAAGATGGAAAAAATGTACTGGAAACGAATAATACTGACACTCAATGCATAGATGTATAATAGTTATAGTAAGATACCAGCTGCTACATGAATCTATGATTAAGGAAACTCAAATTCAGAAAGAATCACAAATTTGCTTGATTGTAAGCGAATAAAAAAGGTGCAGAAACACAAATCAAGCTTACAGTAGATAATTAGAAGAAGAAGCCAGATAAACAGATAAAATTTAACATAACAATTATAAAGGGAGGACTTATACCAAGTAAATCACAGTAATTTGACAGGACATGGGATCTGAATCTGAAGCGGTGATGCATGATAGAACGAAAGCTCATGGTATCGAAGATGCTTTGTTTTGCGAAGATTGGCTGTAAATGGTGGTTTTTCTTGCGAAGTTGTTTTTAAATAGATTATATTGGGATTATCATGTTTTTTTTACTTTGGCACAGCGTAAGAAGCGTTAAGTAATCAGTTCAAGTTCATAACCACTTGTAAAGATACGAATACTGAATAAATACTGGACTGCACTCAAATATTTCAAATGATGAATTGCGAAGACGTATTTTATTGTATTTGAGGTAACTAAACTGAAGAGCAATACGTATAGTTACAAAAAACTCAATTATTACAGTTTACAATACTCTAATGTCATTTACGTGTTTGCTACACTACACCGGTGTTACATAATAGTAGTGTAAGCAGCAATAAACTCGAGTCATTGACAGCTCAACATCATTCATCTGTGAACAGAGGTACAACCGATAGCTACACCCTGATTTTTTTCGGTACACGGCGGTTTAAGACAAAAACGAAAACGACATAATACAACAGTTTAAAATTGACTTAGAAACATTGCATCGCTATGTGGGTCACTTTCATTTCTGTACGGTTGAAAACCAGTAATTTTATTTCTCGATATTTTGAGTAAAATATGCAATGATCCTTACCAGTAATTCCAAAAAAGCGTTTCAATGTTTTTGAACGATAACACTCTAATAAACGAAATTTCGAACTCAGATGAAGGATTATCTTTGTTTGTTGCGCCCATGATCAGTGACAAAAGCGATAATGCACTTCACGATGTGTAAATAATCAACTTACACCGAAGATTTCCCAAATCAATAAGGAATTTATATCAAGATCAGACCTGTCATGGTGGTAACCAGCTCCACAAATATAATGTCTTCAACCTGAATCATTTTACGACTTTATTCATAAATGCTCATGCAGCGAGTAGAAGGTCATGACTTCAATCTCAGGTCCCACCCACTTGGAAAAATTGTAACTTTGATATCCTTTCTACTAAAAAACGTCCAACCATACCATGATACTTAGGACAAGTCGTAGGGGCAGTTACAATACCTTCAAGAAAATTACAGGTACTTAATACAAGTTCCTAGAAATTCAGATAAGTCCTGAAATAATCAGAAAAGCTCAGAGATCTTTACGGAAGTTACGTACAATTTGTAAGCAGAATGTTCCATGAGTATCAGGTAAATTTTGAAAAGTTTCGAACAGTTTCACTCATTTTAGGAAAACAGTGGAATCCTTCAAAAAGTTTCGAAATTTTCAGAGAAGTTTGGAGAATTTCAAAAAAATCAGGAAAGTTTCAAGAACATCGTCAGGAGAATTGACGATTGTGAAAAAATAAGAGCAGACCCATTAACTCACGAAAATAGTAGGAACCAAACAGAAGTTACCAGGATTGAAAGGAAATTCTGAGAAGTTTCATCAGCAGACCACTGGAACATTGGAGGAAGTTCAGAAAACTTCTGCAATACTTCAGGAAGTTCAGTGAAGTTTCGAAAAATTCAAGGCGGTTTCATTAACTTTCAAAAAGTTCTGAAAATTAGAGAATTTAAAGGAAGTCTAGACACCTTCATAGAAGTCAAGATGCTTACAGATCTTTAGGGCCGTTTCGATAACTTCACAATTGTTTCGATAATTTAAGGAAAGTGCAGACTTTTGGAGCTGTTTAACGAATTTTAGAAAACTTCAGCAATATATCAATAATTTAACAAACGACCAGGAAACTAATGGAAAGTGCTAAGATTTGTAGGACAATAATTTCTGGGCAGGAAAATTGCTCTAAGAATATCAGAGGTTATATAAAACCTCAGGGCAGTTCCATTAACTTCAACAGAATTGCAGGTACTTTAAATTAGTTCCAAGATCCTTGTTCGCGACGCGCGTGTCACGTTCATCAGACGAAGCCGAAGGGGCTTCGTCCTTTATTATTATTTTTCGAGAGGAACTCGCAATCCGCGAAGGATCACGCGGCGAACTTTCGGCGTGCGGTTATTCACAGACCAGACCGGAGGAAGGGGTTCGAATGCCTCACGGTGGATCCTAATCGAATTGGTAGGTTTCGACTGGCTTCGAGCTCGTCGTTCCAACAGCAGGAACCGATACCACTTGAAGCGAGATTCGCCTACTTTCGAACAGGATTCCTTAGGACTTGGCTGAGTGCTCTACGGTTGGGATATGGTTGGACGGTAGCTGCCCAGCTCAGATGGGGGCAGTAGCGCGATTCCAACAGATACACCAGCGGTAAACCTGATCAGCCTAGTCGGGGAGTGCCCAAACTCTGAAACGGGTTCCGACCAATAAAGGTGCTCGGCCGGTACTTGCCCAGCTCAGATGGGGGCAGTAGCGTCGATTCCGAGGAAACTCTTATTGGAAACGGATTACCGCGAGAGAGTTTGATAGGCTGGAGGCGAAGAGTGTTATTGAGGTGATATGTAGGAGTAAGGGTGGACCTGGCGACAAGTCCGTACACTTGGATAGGATAGTGAAAACTGAATATATTTTGGTTGTATCAAAACGCTTTTATAGCGTCCCTTAGACCTAAGTTTTGGGCGTCGGTGCCCACGTACGCATGTGCGTCTATCTTCCCGCACAGGGGTTCTAGACGCACTTTCTTCCTAATTCTAGATTTCCCTTGGTCACGCATCCTAGTAGGGGAACGTTTTCATTTTTAACTTTTATGACCCAAGTTCTCGCGCCTCGCTGGTGCATGTAAATTACTTTAAATCAATCCGCACCAGGCTTCCTGTTTACATTGGCCCGCTCCCCAGATCTAGCCTATAGCTTGGATGCGTACGCATGCATCGCTGCCTATCTAGGCCTAAGTGCATTTTTCCATTGATTTTGCTCTCTGCGGTGGAACCGTCGCTAGCTCGGTTTTATTGCCCTTTGTGTTTTTGGAAGGATGCCGAACGCAAGATTGTCCCTTGGGACGATTTCATTGCTTTCTATTAATGCTTCAACTATCCTTCCCAAGACTGGTTCTATTACGATAATTCGTTTATCTTGGCGTTGTTACGCATCTTTTTAGGGAACCAGATTTTATTACCTTTGCGCCAGGCTCGCATTGCCGGGCGCACCGAGCTCCATGCGACCGATTCATTACCATTCCATTCACATAGCACGCGGACTGCCTTGGCATCGAGCGTCTAATACACCGCAGCGCTGCACGCATTGCAGGGCTGCATATGGTTCACCGTGGAGCGAAGAAAGTGGAAAGTAAATGCGTACTGATTCTATATGCGTCAGCCAGATCTGGCGGTGTGGCATGTTTACTTCTCGTTTACGAGGCGTGAGTTAGGGTAGGTTTGGTCTTGACTTTGTGCTTCTTGCACCTCTCTTAGACAAATTTCTTGCTTTCGCTTATTTCCCGTACGAGGGCGGTGACCTATCGTGGGAACTTGAAAATGCATAATGAATTGCGATATTTTACGTTGCATCTGCAACATCCCGGGCCTCGTAATTCTTACTAGATTTACTAATCTAAATCATATGTTAATATTGCAATTTTTCATTATTGGGATGTTACATTGCTCCGAGTGTTTAAATTCCATGTTTTACATTTCAGTGTTTGATCTTGTATGTAGTCATTAATTTTTCTAATATGTTTATAATTTTCCGTACTTTCGTACTGCTTTTACTGATCATGATATATAATTTTCGTAACTCTAATTGAGTTGATTTATATGCCTTTGTACTTCTACGTATTTGTATGCTTGATATATATCTGTTTTGTTTTTATGTTTATATCATGTCTTGATAATTCTTCTATAATTTCTTCTTAGTTTATATATAATGATTCGTTGTATAAATGATGATTACATATTTGTCAAATAATGTCTTCTCTTCTTGAGGTGGTGGGATGTTAGTTTGTTTGATATTTCTAGTTGTTAAGGAAAAACTATAATTTATTTTCTTGTCTTTAATAGATATAAATCCCATCAATATACCTCTTTTCATTTTATGCTAATTATGTACTTATTAATTTAATGTTATTTCAGGTGTCCATCTTCGGGTGGTGCAGCCGAGCGTCGCGCATGCACTTTTCGTCAATGTTGCTGTCTGCTACTACTTGTGAATTCGAGGGTGATCTCACCCTTGGCTTGGCTTGATTTTCTTTCATGTTGAATCGGCTCGGTTTTGAAATGCCGATTCTGGTGCAATGTTGTCTAGTTGATTCGTCATCTCGTTGTTGTCGGCATTCACTACTGGATGTGAATGTTGGTTTCTGGCGGACTGGCTGATACCCAGTCGTCTTGTTATCATATGCGTATTGGCTGACTTCTTAGGCGGGTATCTTCTATCGGGGCATCGTGAGCGCTACATAGGGGTGCGCAGGAGGGTGGGCGCGAGCCACCGTCTGTGGTTCTTCATCGGATAGTGGTGTGTTTTCTGAAGGATTGGTCCCATCTTCAGGCGTCGTTACATCATATGTTCTGGTCGTTGACTTCTTGATGTTCTTCAGAGTGTTCCTATGCGTGAGGAAGGTTGTCATGGAGTCCCACAGCGATGCGATTAGCTGCCATCCGAATCCATAGATGTCATACAATATGCGTCCGTGCATCAAGGTATCTACAAGAAACTTGATTATTCTGCCAATGATATACAGCCCGATGGCTGTAGATGTTATATTACCCAACCAAGATGACAATGACACAAGTTTTTCCCAATACTTGTTTATCATGTTGTCAATTAACTTTTCTGACATTAGGGCTTCGAAATGAAATCCCTGCTTGCTGGGATTTTGTCCAGTTAATATCTTATGTACCACGTTTGTGGCTATGCGACGGTCACCCTGATCGTATATCATGGTTCGCATCTTTTTCAAACTATCAGCGTCGTAAATTCCGCTTTCCATTAAATTTGGAAGAGGTGTGTAAGTCCATTTGGTCACTATGTCCGTGGCCAGTTTTTGTGGGAATGTAGTTTCTCTTATCTTCCCATCAAATGTGTACCATCTGCCTCCAAATTGGAATTTGGCTGGTAACAACGGTGTACATTCAATTTCCGTTCCTCGCATTTGTAGTGTACGTGTGACTGGGGTTAGAAACATTGTGACATTTCCGAACTTCACTGGAAGTTCTTGATAGCACCTTTCTGATGCAAACGGTTGCACGTAGACCGGCTTGCATTCCAATACGTGTAGCACTTCTCCGGCTACTACCGCGGAAAAACCCGTTCTTTTCATTATGCTATTAACGAATTCTGTTGGGTTTATGCGGGCAAGTGTAAGTTTTGTTTCCAAAAGTGCCTTGTCTAATTTACACATTTCAGTCATTACTGTATTGTATACGTCGTCGAGCTTCTGACCGACGTAATTCTCAACTAGAGTTATTTTAGAATTGAAGTATGTGAAAATGTCATGATTTTTTGCACTTGATGGTCTTCTAGCAAATGGAGACTTGAACTCCGCTTCTTCCAATATGAATATTCTCGGGTGGTCTGTGCTATAACCCTTGTATCTGCATATCTTCGCTGTATCTTTGGTGCGAATTGAAAACAAATGCGAATCGGAAATGGAGGTATAAACGGCATGTGGATTTGGTTTATTTCCTTCTATATTTATTGTCTTGTTAACCTTTCCTTCATATATAACTTCGAAATCGGTGTCTTCACACCGTTGGTTTAGGCTCACGTCCCAAGTGGAGTATCCATCTTCTGAGTCTAGGCACTTTCCATGTGAATATGGACATACTAGTCCGTGTCGGAGCATAATTTGATCATTCTCGTTATCGATTGTTGCCATGTAGTTATACAATGCGATTTCATATTCAAAGTATACTAACGCATTGATCCAAGTATACTCCGGTGTTTTATACACGCCACCGCTGCAAGAACTAGCCCATACGCTACCTACGACTAAGGTTTCTCCTCTAGTCGTGTGGTTTCTCTTAAGTTCGAGGAGTCCCGCGCTCAATGTTAAGGGAATAGCTCCCGTGAGTTGAGTGCGTCTACACTCGTCGGGTGTAAACTCCTTTACTATGTAAGAGTATCCGCGCTCATAGTCCGAGGTGTGCGAGTGCATTCCGCAGTGCCTTATTGATCTCTTAATGATCATTTTGCACTGATATACCATTGTGCTTCCCTTAGAGCTTCTTTGAAGTACTTGAATAGGTACTTCAGATATTGAAAGATTCTTTGTAGAAGGGATACAAGACGTTACGTCCAATAGTGAATAACTTGTCATATTCACTTCTGGGCTCGCGCAGTCATACGCGATAAGCCCGGTTGGGTATTGCCCTAACGCTGCCGTTACAAAAAATAATACCATTATTATGGTCATATACCATGGAACATGGATTTTAGTTTTGTTCGTTACATTTCTAGGTTTTTGTTTCGAGTTCATTCTGTCTCTTAGTTCTTTAACCTTATCGATGTCTACTTTACATCGTTTTCCCCAAGAATTAAAGTTCTTTCCTGCGCGTTGATCCATTGTCAAATTAGCGCTTGGTAACTCGCCCTCCACCTTTCTTTTTCTATTTGCGGAGACTGGACCTATATCGCCGTCCTCGTACTCCCGATGGTGGTTTATACGGTGGATTTCCACTGGTTGATTTACCACCTTTCTTTTACGTTTAATTGGTGGTGCCTTCTGCCCTTTGCCCTTATCTTGAAGGGCTGGTTTAGTTTCCCTTCGATTCTTTGTACATACCTTTGGTGCTTCTTGGTGAAGGTTTATGTGTGTCGTAGTTGTTTCGTCCTTAGTCGTCGCTGCGCTCTTTACGTCAAGCACTGCTATTTTCGTGGCAGGTCTTACGTAATTTCCTTGTATCGTTTTAACTTCTGCCGACCTAACTTGTCCGTCGGAACTTGTGTGAACTTTCACAACTCTCCCTTTGAGCCAATTGCCGGGTAGAGTTCCTTTGTCCGTTATGACCACAATGTCGTCGACCTTGATTGGCTCGACTTTCTTGGTCCACTTATTTCTTTTGATTATGGTGGGGAGATATTCTTTTCGCCACCTATCCCAGAAATATTTTGCGTAATGAATAATACGCTTGTAGTGTGCTCTACTTAAACTGTCTGTTGTTAGTGCGGTTGGTGCAGGAGGGTTCTTTGGGTGTGCTCCTAAGAAATGAGAAGGAGTAAGAGGTTCGTCATCTGCTTTGTCTAGCGATACATGGGTTATTGGTCGTCTATTCAATATGCCTTCGGCTTGTATTAAAGCCGACCTTAATTCGTTTTCTGTTGGCATATGGTGTTGGCGTGCTTTAGCCATTTCGTACAGGCATATCTTTATGTTTCTAATTAACCGCTCCCAAGCTCCGCCGAAATGTGGTGCGGCTGGAGGGTTAAAGTGCCATTTAATGCGCATTTCTGCGGCCTTTCCTTCTCCCATTTCCCTTTCAATTTCCTGAACGGCTGTCTGCATTTCCTTTTCGGCTCCGATAAAGTTCGTACCATTATCGCTGTACAGATGCTTGACCGGGCCTCGTCTGACTTGAAAGTTCCTCAAGCAGACTATAAATGCGTCTGTGTCTAATTTTTCAGCCAAGTCTAAGTAAACGGCTCTTGAGGTTAGGCACGTAAATATAACGCCCCACCTCTTTTCTATTGACCGTTTTACTTGTACTTCTATTGGCCCAAAATAATCTACTCCCGTGTGTGTAAACGCGGGGTTGTATATATCCAGCCTACAATCGGGTAGGCATGACATGAGCGGTTCGCTAGGTGAGACCTTCTCATTCTTACAGTGCTGACAATTTGCCTTGACTGTGTTATGAACTCTTCTTGGATCTATTATCCAATATTTTTCTTTTGCCGCGGCTAAAATAGTTTGATCACCGTGGTGCAGATTTTCTTCATGATAAAATTTCATGATCAGTCTGGTAATTGGGTGTTTGGTGGGTAAGATCATTGGTTCCCGTGTTGATAGCGGTACAATGTCTGTGTTTGCCAAACGTGATTGGACTACCATAACCTCATGATCGTTGATTCGTGGGGTTAGACATCTTAACCTTCCTGATTTAGTGATTTCACCGTGCTTTGTAATGTCATGCATTTCGTCGGTGAAACCTTCCCACTGTGCCTTGCGGACAATAGCATATTCGGCTATTTGCATGTCGTCTTCGCTTATATTTTTATCGAAGTTTCTTTTGTCTTTTATCCAATCGACAAACTTCTTCAAAATGCAGACTTCCTTGAGTAACTTCTCCCAATTAGAGTAACGATACTCGCGGATAAATTTAAAGTCTGATTCGACTTCTTGGTGAAACATTACCGACTCCTTTATTTCTTCGGTCGTTTCTCGCATAAACCTTGATTTTGGCCACATACATTCTTCTTTCCAAATGAATGTTGGACCTGCTAACCATTTAGGTTTTCCCTTGGCTAGCTTGGTTCCTTCGTCTGCTGGATTTTCGTCCGTGGGTACATAACGCCACTGCTCAATTTTTGTTTCTTCTAAGATTTCTCCTATGCGGTGTGCTACAAATTCTTTATACTTTCGGTGGTCAGAATGAATCCAAGACAGCACCGTTTGCGAGTCTGACCAATACGTAATTTTGGAAGGCTTCTTGCGCAGCTCCTTCTTCAACGTTTTGGTGAGCCTTGTGCCTAAAACTGCTGCTAGCAATTCCAACCTCGGAATTGATAGTTTCTTAATTGGTGCTACTCTTGATTTAGCAGCTAACAGACGAATACTAACAGTCTGACCGTGGCTACCTAATCCTCTGACATAGGTGGCCGCTGCGTACGCGTATTCTGACGCGTCGACGAAAGTATGTAGTTCAAATTTTTGTACCTTTGGAGCTAACATCCATCTAGGTATCTTCACATTTGCTGCTTGTTTTATTATTTCTAAAAATTGTTTCCATTGATTGTAAGAGCGCTCTGAAATTTCTGCGTCCCAATCCGACGTTTCCTTATGCAGCTCTTGGATAAGTATCCTACCATGTATGGTAAGATTAGCGATTAATCCCATTGGGTCATAAACGCTCATAACGAAGGATAATACCTCTCGTTTAGTCGGCTTTCTAATTTCATGGCGTACATCTACTGGTAGCCGATTAAATTTAAGTTGGTACTGAATACAATCTTTACTTGTATCCCAGTACATCCCAAGAACCTTTTCACCTTCGGACTCCTTATCCTCGAAGGTTTTAATCTTGTCCACTTGGACCCTATTCTTCGGAAGTGAAGCTAGCACTTCTTTACTATTAGAAACGAAATTTCTGATAAAGAATTTCGCCTTGTCGTGAATTTCCATAACGTCTTTGATCGTTTGCGTTGCCTCTTGAGGCGTGTCGAAACTATCAATATAATCATCAACGTAATGCTGTTTTATTATTGCCTTTACCGCCTTGGGTTTTGTTTCGGCGTATAGACTGGCGTTGTAGTTCTTAACAGCTTGCGCGCAGGCTGGAGAGCTGGTAGATCCGAAGATCATAACCTGCATGACGTACACGTCAGGCTCTCGGCTGTCGTCACAATCACGATATAAGAAGCATTGCTTCTTCTGGTCCTCTAGACTAATTCCCACCTGACTAAACATTTCCTGCACATCTCCAGCGGATGCGATAGCCCCTTCCCGGAAATTAGTGGTGACGCCAAACAAAGAGGTTGTAGCGTCGGGACCCGCTAACAACGCGTCATTTAGAGAAATGCCCCAAGACTTTGCGGCCGCATCGAACACCAAGCGTGGCTTAGGAGGTGTTTTATTTTTATTTACCACGATAAAGGTTGGGAGATAAAATATCTCTCCAGCCCATTCCTCCTTTTCCTTTGGTGTTAATTTGCGCGCGTAGCCCTTGGTTACATAATCCGCAATCGTGTTGTTTGTCCAGTTCTTCAGTTCTGGATCTTTTTTCAATTTCGCTTCCAAATTTTGGAGCCTCTTATAAACTTGTATGTAACTCTCTGGTAGATGCGTATCATCCTCTTTCCAGAGTAACCCGACTTCGTATTTTTCCCCTGTATATTTTAGGGTCTTATTTATTATCTCCTTGGCTCTAATTTCATTCTTAGTCTCAGGAAGTTTTTCTGGAATTTTGACTCCAAAGTCCTCCACTGAAAAATATCGTTGCATTAGATCATTCATTTTGTCATCTTCCTGAATGACCATTAAATGTTCTGCTTGTGCGGTATGTTTGATATTACCAAATATCAACCAGCCAAGCTTAGTTTTGATTGCGATGGGTTCATTCACTCCCATCGCTCGTCTTTCTAACGGATATAATAAATGGCTATGATTTAGCCCAATAAGTAATTTTGGCTGTGCATTCTTATAATTCTTTATTGGTAAATTGGCCAAGAACGGATATTTGTCTGCCAAATTATCGTAGTTCACGGTTTGAACCGGTAAGTGAAGATTACTTGCGGTTCTGACGTTTGTCAACGTGAATTCATTATCGGAATTGCCTTTAATTTTTAATTTGACCCTCCTGCTAGTTTTCTCTTCCCTAGACACATTCTGGGTCCATTTTATTTTGAGTGGATCACGTACTCCTTCTAACTCAAGTTCCTCAGCAACCCCTTCATCTATTAAAGTTAAGGAGGATCCTGGGTCTAGGAAGGCGTAGGTTTCCACCTCGCAATTCTTATTTTTAAGTGTTACCGGAATGATCTGGTAAAACACTTGTGCCCTTTGCTCCTCGTGTAAGTTTGAAGTTTCGGGTCGTGGTTCGGTTGGCTCGCCGGAGGCTGTTATCTGTCTTCTTTCCGGTCTGCTACCTTGATTATGAATATCCCTTGGGATATGTAGTAGCCTATGATGGTGCTCGTTGCATCCATTTATGCCACAGTTTCTTTGAAAATTACAGTTTCCTTTGTGTCTGAACAGACACAATGGACATACTCGCAATTTAAGTATTTCCTGTCGTCTGTTTTGTACAGACATTTTTCCAAATTTTTGGCACTCTCTTAGTCTATGTGTTCCGTTACACATATAACAACGTACGTTGTTTTCTGAGTGCACATTGACTCTATTCCTTTTTTCGATCGGAGCTCTATTAGAATTATAGAGCTCACGATGAATGTCGGCCTTAGGCTTTAGCCATTTAGCCAAATCTTTAAGGGAGGGTACTGAATTGCCTTGTTTGGCATTAGATTCTACTACCTCCAACCATTTTATCTGGGTGTCGCAAGACATCTTGCTTACCAGTTCCTCAACTAAGCGAGGATCATTTGAGTACGCCATCTGATTGGAGGCGGTTAAATGCGCTATCAAATTTTCTAGACCATTCGATATCTCGACTATCGCTAAGTGGCCTCCTGTTCTAATACGCTCGAGATCGTCTCGCAGCTCCTTATAGACCCGTTTTGACTGTCCAAATTGTTTTTCGAGTCGTTCCATTATTTGCGGTACGTTTGCTTGATCAAGCATCATGGACTGTACCGCCTTAGCCGCTGGGCCCCCTAGTGCCTTTTGCAGCCGTATCAAATTTTCCAAACTGGTATATTTCCCCTGCTCGGTCGTGGCCTCGAACATTTTCTTAAATGCTGGCCACTCTCGAGCGTTCCCAGAGAACTGGGGCAGACCCATTTCTTGCCGTTTTAAATACATAGCTACGGAATCGTCGTCCGCAGCTGTCTCTTTTCTTACGAGTTCGTTTTCAAGCTTGACTTTATTCAGCTGGATCGCCTGAGCGATGTCCAGCAATACGTCTCGCTTGTCCTTTTCTTCCTTATGTTTAGATTCAAGCTCACGTTTGTAGTGCGCTAGCTCCGTCTCCATAGACGTCGCGTGAATCTCGGAGGATTTCTGTGCCTTTGCACGTGCCTCCAGCTCTAAAGCTATATTTGCTAATTTATTCTTCATCTGAATAAGTTCGTCGGCTTGCGCCTTCTTAATACTTTCATCCATGCGGCATTTCGCACACGACCAAGGTTCTTTTTTATCAGGTAGACAGGTGAGTTCCACGCATCCATAGTGGAACCACCTATCACATTGGTCACAAGCGACCATATCTTGCACCTCGTCCTTACGAGTGCATAGGCGACAATGGCCGAGCACATTGTCTACAAAATTCATTGCTATTTTGTTTGTGTTTCTTTCTTTTTAATGACTTTTCTTTCTTACACCCTTTCTTTCTATCTCACTAGAGATTTTATATCGGTTTTACGTGCACCCTTCTGTTGCTCAAGTGAGCCTGTTTTTCTTATTTTCCGTTTCTCTTTTAACGAGTACGTTGACTCGTTATGCAATAAACGTTTCGGGTTTATGACCCGCCTGGCGGATTTCTTACAGGGAATCGATGGGTTCGTTGACCCGTTTTTATTCTCCTTCCCCTTAGAACTTCGTAGGCTAATTGCCTGTTTAATTTTCCTCGTGATCGTGTTCTCTAACGAGGTGTATTTTGTTTATTTCCTGCTCAGGAGCTGGAACCCTTGGGAACTTGTCCCGAATAGTCACTATTGACTTCCTCTTGCCCCGGATTAAACCGCAGACCTGTGCAGGATTTCCAACTCAGGAGCTGGAAATCCGCTAAAACTATCTCGGATTACACCGCAGATGTTTTACTATGGCATTCACGAACCTTTTGTTCGGAATCCTTCCTGTGAGTCCCTCCTATGTGGACTCCCGACTTTCACGGTGGGTCCCTGATAATTATTCTCGAATTTTTCCTATATAAATTCCGATAATTATCTCCCGTATTCCTGTGGGTTCTGACAAATACCTCCCGAACTTCTTGGGACTGATAAATATCCCCACCAGCCTTCCTTACGAAGGTTGCCCTACCTACTGTCGGGCCCGGCCTACTTATGTAGGCACTGTTTCGAAACTCCCGGCTTACGCCGTTGCAGACGTTTCTTCCTTGGGCGTTCGCGTACCTTCCGTGCGGAACCCCGTCTTACTGGAACCTATCCCGGATTAACACCGTGGACGTTCCTAAACGAATTGTGTTTTTGGGTTTTTAGGCCCCTTATAGTCCGGAGACTGCTGTTATGTTTGGGTTTTTAGGCCCCTTATAGTCCGGAGACTGATTCAATTCACACTTTATCTTAAACACTTCACTTTAGCACTTGATTAGTTGGGTCCTAATTGGCAGGGTGTTATTGATTTGTTACTTATTAATTAGGAAAAGAATAATTACTTACCTGATGACCCTGCCGGTGCTAGAGTCTCCTTATTTCACTTAAGCCCGTAGGCTTTCACTTTACTATTAGACTTTCTTCCGGTGTCGGAACACCTACACTGTGAGTTCTTATAGCACTATTGCTCCTCTCTGGAGCCACCATATGTTCGCGACGCGCGTGTCACGTTCATCAGACGAAGCCGAAGGGGCTTCGTCCTTTATTATTATTTTTCGAGAGGAACTCGCAATCCGCGAAGGATCACGCGGCGAACTTTCGGCGTGCGGTTATTCACAGACCAGACCGGAGGAAGGGGTTCGAATGCCTCACGGTGGATCCTAATCGAATTGGTAGGTTTCGACTGGCTTCGAGCTCGTCGTTCCAACAGCAGGAACCGATACCACTTGAAGCGAGATTCGCCTACTTTCGAACAGGATTCCTTAGGACTTGGCTGAGTGCTCTACGGTTGGGATATGGTTGGACGGTAGCTGCCCAGCTCAGATGGGGGCAGTAGCGCGATTCCAACAGATACACCAGCGGTAAACCTGATCAGCCTAGTCGGGGAGTGCCCAAACTCTGAAACGGGTTCCGACCAATAAAGGTGCTCGGCCGGTACTTGCCCAGCTCAGATGGGGGCAGTAGCGTCGATTCCGAGGAAACTCTTATTGGAAACGGATTACCGCGAGAGAGTTTGATAGGCTGGAGGCGAAGAGTGTTATTGAGGTGATATGTAGGAGTAAGGGTGGACCTGGCGACAAGTCCGTACACTTGGATAGGATAGTGAAAACTGAATATATTTTGGTTGTATCAAAACGCTTTTATAGCGTCCCTTAGACCTAAGTTTTGGGCGTCGGTGCCCACGTACGCATGTGCGTCTATCTTCCCGCACAGGGGTTCTAGACGCACTTTCTTCCTAATTCTAGATTTCCCTTGGTCACGCATCCTAGTAGGGGAACGTTTTCATTTTTAACTTTTATGACCCAAGTTCTCGCGCCTCGCTGGTGCATGTAAATTACTTTAAATCAATCCGCACCAGGCTTCCTGTTTACATTGGCCCGCTCCCCAGATCTAGCCTATAGCTTGGATGCGTACGCATGCATCGCTGCCTATCTAGGCCTAAGTGCATTTTTCCATTGATTTTGCTCTCTGCGGTGGAACCGTCGCTAGCTCGGTTTTATTGCCCTTTGTGTTTTTGGAAGGATGCCGAACGCAAGATTGTCCCTTGGGACGATTTCATTGCTTTCTATTAATGCTTCAACTATCCTTCCCAAGACTGGTTCTATTACGATAATTCGTTTATCTTGGCGTTGTTACGCATCTTTTTAGGGAACCAGATTTTATTACCTTTGCGCCAGGCTCGCATTGCCGGGCGCACCGAGCTCCATGCGACCGATTCATTACCATTCCATTCACATAGCACGCGGACTGCCTTGGCATCGAGCGTCTAATACACCGCAGCGCTGCACGCATTGCAGGGCTGCATATGGTTCACCGTGGAGCGAAGAAAGTGGAAAGTAAATGCGTACTGATTCTATATGCGTCAGCCAGATCTGGCGGTGTGGCATGTTTACTTCTCGTTTACGAGGCGTGAGTTAGGGTAGGTTTGGTCTTGACTTTGTGCTTCTTGCACCTCTCTTAGACAAATTTCTTGCTTTCGCTTATTTCCCGTACGAGGGCGGTGACCTATCGTGGGAACTTGAAAATGCATAATGAATTGCGATATTTTACGTTGCATCTGCAACAATCCTCAACAAATTTTCGAAAACTTTAGCAAAGTGTAAAGTTTTGAAAACTTCAGAGCACTTTCGAAAACTTAGCAAAAAATGCAAGACTTCGGTAAAGACCAGAGAACTTCAAGGTAGTTCCATTAGTTTCAAACAACTGCACAAACTTTTAAGAAGTTCCGAGACCTTCCGAGTAGAGAAATAAAGAGCAATGTTATTATACTTAGAGAAGTTTAGTGTACTTTTGGGAAGATCAGATAACTTTAAAACAGTTACATTAATTTCTAGAACTTGCAAGGAGATCCGAGGAACTATACAAAATCTTGATAATTTCAGAAATGTTTCGAAAACTGGAAAATTGCATGATCTTCGGGAAAGTTCCATAAATTCCAGGATGTTTGCCAGGGCATTAGAAAAGATCCAAAAACTTCAGGGAAGCCCAACGAAGTTATGGGAAGTTAAAAGATTTTGTTGAAAGAAGAGAGTTCAGATCTTTAGGGTACTTACAATAACTTCAGGAAAGCTTCGATTTTTTACTGGAAAGTTTTTCATTCAGGACAGTTTAACGAACTAGAAAAATGTGTTCCATTTAGGGAAGTACCATGAATTTTAATAACATTTCTAGAACTTCAGTGGCAATCTTAGAACCACAACCATTATTTGAATTAAGAATTTTAGAACAAATAATCCCAAAGAAGTCCTGATTAGTGATGCCCCGGATATTCGGTCACCATAGTATTCGGCCGAATACTTGGGCCGAATATCGAGCTGTGCAGTCACAAAATTCCACTCAAGCACCTAGCCGGCCACTTGTTAGGTGAGAAATGGACGAATATCAGTTAAAATTATGGTGTAAACGCCGAATAACACTACCCTAATAAAAAGAACAAGAGCTTAACGACGTGTTCGGGGTATCATCCGAATCATTTGTGGGATAGTTCTACGATCCGGGTTACCGTTCGTTTATCATGTTTGTTTATTAGGGTATTTGGTGTGTATCACTAGCCCTGAAAGTTTCATGGAAGTCCAAAGAACTCAAAAGAAGTTAAGAACGCTTCAGAAACTATTAGGAAACTTAACAGAAGTCCAGAGAACTTCAATTCTAGTAAAATTACGGGAACTAGAGATAAGTTCAGAGAATTCCAGAAAATAACAACAGATTCATGAATATTAGTAAAATAGCGGCATCTTATGAAAAGTTACGAGATCATCTAGTATTTTTTTTTAGAAATTTCTGGAAAATTCAAAGATGTTCAAAATTTTTTGGAGATTTTATGGGAAATTTCGTTAGCATCTTTCAGAGAAGATCAAAAACTTTCAAGATAGTTCTATTAAACTCAGGATAATTTTGGGAATTTCCGAAAGTCCAGAGAATTTCTGAGAAGTCTAGAGAACTTCAGGGAATTTGAAAGAAATTCAGGGAAATCTACAAATTATCCAAAAATCTCTAGAAATTCACATAAGCTTAAAAATATATACAGAAGTTACGTGAAGTTTGGGGAAGTTCCGAGAATTTCAGGAAAATTACGGGATCTTTGAGCATCTGGAAAAATTAGGGAACTGTAAAGAAGTTCCAACAACGTTAGGAAAATTCTCACCAGTTGGCATGTGATTTGAAGTGTTACACGTAAAACATCCTTGTCGGGTTGAGAGTTTGACTTACCAAGGTTACATTCTGGATTCACATAGAGTTTACGATAGTTCTTTTTCGTCTCAAAAATCGATAGCTAACTACACGAATTGATTCGATTGTATGAATGACTATTGCAGTATTTTTTTAAGTTTTATGGAGAGTTGATTACAATCAACCTATACCTATACCTCAGTGTATATTAGAGGGAACTAAATTGTTCTTGCATGTTTCGTTCATACATTACAAATATGGACTCTCGTGAAAGTAGGCGCTTGAATTTAAGGTGTTCGTGAGTGCACAGATGGCAATTCAGCGATTTTCTGAGATTTCCTCAGATCATGGAAACGTGGGTTTGTGATGATGTGCTCAACTCGGAACTAATTGTTAAAAATAACAATATGTGAATCAGTGTTTCCTTGGATTGTGAGACATTCAAACAAATTGCTGTCTGCATCAAGCTTCATCTACTCATCGATCTGTCTTCGCCTGCGCTGTGTATATTCGACCTAACAGCGATGCTACTTTTTCTTCCTGGCGTGTTTCAGTTGTTTCATTTTCATTTTCATTTTATGATGTACAAGGGGGTCAGGGGCCATGTCACCGATGTGAATATTCACACCATCCATAATACACCAGGGAAGGGGAGAGGAGTGAGCAACACAGCATCTTTACCCATGGGGGTTAAAAAAGTTCTGCGAGGTACACTTATGGTGAACCAGCGGCTCAGGGATTGTAGAAAGGAAAAGGGTTGGGTAGGTTTAAAATGCAGAATTAGATGCCGTCACGATTGAATGCGCATGTTTAAACAACGTTGATCCAGGTACCTATCATATAAATTTGCATATATTATTATTGTCAATAATACTTACATTTCGATAAAGATGATGCTGCCTACTTTACCTGTTATGTGATACTTATCATCACAGAGTCCAATCTTGAATCGTAGACCAGGTCCACTAACAAAACACTCGTTCCGAGAAGGGGTTTATGGTCTTCTTCTTCTTCTTCAGGTTCGCTCACCACCCGGAATGAAGGCTCGGTGCGGTTAGTAATATCAAACAGTGTTACATGCAAACGAAAAAACGAAAAAGAGATACAACCAGGATTAGTTTTTTAAAGTAATAGTTTCATCTGAATACCCAACTAACCATATCTCAGTGACATTGTACCACTCTGAACCCACACCTAAAGCTATTTTGTGATTATATGGTTACTTTGGTATTCACATGAAATGTTGTGCAAGTACCAGAAGTTCAACAACGCCCAACTATGGACAGCTCAATGTTAATACCATTTACTCTTTGAATCAGCTTACACCAACATGATAATCTACTAAGAAACATCTAAGAATGTATAGAGATAAAGTTCAAAAATACAGTTTTAACTGATGGTACTTTATAAACGTCAAACTGTCCAATATTGGACCCTGCCAACACACGGCGCCTGCACGGTAATGTGGGCCGTCAGAATGGTTCATCGGTTGCGAAGTGAAGTGCTTCTTAAACTGAAGCGATACATTTCTCTATGTTTCAACGTTATCCTAACGTAAACTTAATATTATCACCCATATGCCTGTCCACGCCCGAAACCCATCCACCACACAAAATCAAATAAAAATGTTTCTGTATGGCAAACACGTCCAGACATAAACGAGAATATGGGTGTATATCTTCACTGTAACAACTACGGGTAATCATCGAAAATACTTGCATTTTATTCAGGCACTTTTGAGCAAACTGCAATCACTCTCTCATACTCGAAATGTGCCACGACCAAATTGGCACAACGACGCCCTATACGCTCTCTGACCAAAGCGCAGGGTTCTTCCTGGCGTGTTTCAGTTGTTTATCTAATACTGGGTACGGCGCAGATTAGCGATTTAATTCGATAGTGAGCGTTGAAAACGGTCAATGTCGCAAATAAACCATGGCTTTTTTCGTAAATTTCTCGTGATTCCAAGGCTATCCATGTAAGACACCAATTATATCGGAAAGGGAGACTCTCTTACTTGAGCGAGTTTTTATTCTCAAGAAATTCACGAAAGAAGTCATTGTTTTCGCTTGCTACATTGGCCCTTATGAAAAAAAAAATTGAGAATTGTTACTAAGATTACAACCTACCTCACCTCTCGTGGACATTCGACGAAGAAATTGACAGATTTCATCCTGTTGAAGCATTGTACGAACATGAAATCACTCTAACCGAAAGCCTGTTCGCTTCTGGATTGTGACACATTTGCGCTCTTGCCAATGTTAACGGTAGAATTCTTGACTCGGCTTTCGTGAAAGGCACTGACAATATTACATTCAATTTTACATGTTGATCGTCGCCATCACAAGCCATTCGTTTTACGTCTTAACACCCGTTTCTTTGGTGTCAACTACGATACAATCTGACTGTCAGCTTGACTTCAAACGATCCGATTATGTTACTCTTGATCGGGATCTCGGCCGTATGGATTGAAACACTATGTTTCAGGCCGATGCTGTGTCTCTTTTCTATGACACAATTCTTGCTCTTCTCTCCATCAATACTCCCCACTCTACACTCTACAGTAATTACTAAACGATACCCGTGGTGGAATTCAAATCTTGAACATCAAAAGAACGTACTTCGTAAAGTATGCAAGATATATTTTCCCAACCGAACCTAGCAAAACATACACATCATGTGAAACAAATAGAGGCGGAGTTAAAAGTCAACGTGAATTTGCGTTACTGTGAGAACCTAGCAAACATACAGGACGATCTGAAGACCACCGACCCTGCTGCTTTTGGAGCTTCATCAAAAGAAAAAGATGCTCCAACTCTATACCAATCGACGCTATGGGCGCCATACATACTGAAATCTGGTTGACAATCAGGTTAGGTTGATGCTCGATTGTATCGTGTTGGAGGGTTGCATGACAAAATTGGCAGTTGGTCAATCGGTTGAAGTAAAATCAAAACGTTTTGATTTATTGAGGGCGGAGTCTAAGTCTACCAACCTTGTTGCAGTGTGTAAGGGAGAAGTCGCACAAACATCGCGTTTATTTTAAATTGGTTGGCCAACGTACGTACAGATCGAAAAGCAGATTGGATTGTGTGTGATGGAATTGCCAAATTTTTGCTCGGTTAGCGAATTGATTGAAAGGAGATTCGACAACCAGTCGAAGAACCAAGTTTACAACCAGGTTGCAGTGTGTAAGGGTTGCATTACATTCAAAGGATCAACATCAAGTAATGGAGGTGAAGTCATCAATCTGTCCCTCATGTAGCCCAAAGCAGTTACGCCCTAATTCCAGCTCTATTTAGAAATGTTCATTGCCTCGAAAAAAAAAACCCTATACATAATTTGGGTTCAATTGGACATGATTTAAAGTGGCGCGAAATCTTATTTTTTCTTTACTTTTTTCATCTGAAAAATATCCATTAATTTTCGGACCTCCGAATCGTTCGAAATCAACGTGTATAACACATTAAACCAAGGTGAAATACACTTTAAATAAATGTGAATGTACATAAAATGAAAAAATGAAATGCTTAAACACTTTGGTCAGACATGTGGACTTTTTTTAGCGTACCGAGAAATGTGTGGAATGGTCATAGTCATAATTTGTTGAACAAGTGTATCCGTGGCATTAGCTAGATAGCATATATGTATTTCATTAGGTTTGTAGAGTTATTTCCTATCGATTGGTGTATATGGATTTTAATTTCATCTATAATTTACAAAGAACCTTGTATCTTTTCGTAAGATGTAGTCTACGTGAAAATGATTATAAAAAACACGAATTCTGGATGGAGCAATGAATATGATGATTTACAAATTATAAAATATATAAAATCGGCTGATTTTGGAGAGTTGTGGGCAGTTGTGGTGGATGAAATGATATCAATGTTCAGTTGTTCGAGTTGATGGGGGTGGGCTCCGTGCTCTGCCTTCTGGTTCCATGTTACAATGCTTTCCTCCACTGTGATTAGACTGCAGTTTTGGCTGTAGTTCTCTTATGCGAGGTGCATCACGCTGTAGTCTCTGTCAGCAGCACAAACTGCTCAGTAGACTCAGTGTGCCTACTTAGTCATTCCACACTGTGTTAATAGACCTTGAGATCGTCGACGTAGAAAGTACGGGTAACTCCTTCATGTTCTGCGTTCCCTTACCTTACCTTGAAACCCTGGCCCTTACATTGAAAGTGTCCTACCGACGGGATTCAATGACAGACAGAACCATCAGAGTGGGCTGAATGAATCGAAGCGGTATCGAGCGTAACACGGTTTTCCCATCGCTGATCTGGAGCTTTGTGATTGATGAACCCATTGCACATTTCAGGAACCCAACAACCAAAGGATCAATGTTGTGCATCTCTAGTATCTTAAAGAGAAATGAATGCCGTACGGAGTCATATCTCATTTTCCTTCTTGTAGTCGATGTAGGGCAAAAGTTCGACCTCAGTTGAAAAATTAAAGTATCGTTAAACTCCAAGCATTTCTAATCAAGTTAATTCCATACACATGATCCAAGGTTCACAACTTATTTTTACAAATCTTTGATGAATTTTCAGTTCATTCGTAGTTATAACGATTTTTTTCGTAGTAGTGTGCAAAACGAACTTTTGCCCCACGGTGGGGCATAAATTCGATTCACTAATGGGACAAAAGTTCACAAACTTAATGGCAGTTTTTGAGAAGTTTTGCCAATACAAATCTTTAAATGTCCCATAATGGTGTGAAGGACATAATGGAATCGAAATTTACTTGAAAATAGTGGTTTCAACAATTAAATACAATTAGGTTGCAAATTTTATTGAGGCTTTTGCGTTTTATACATTTGTGAATGATTACATGGTTTTGGGACACGACTCGAACTGTTTTCCCACTATAGGCAATTACTGATGACTTACCAAAAGTTCTATGCTCCTAAACTAATCTTCAAAAAAAAACGCTATTATGCCCTGAAATGAAATTACTCTTTCACTATTTAATTTTTCTTGTTGTACGCGCCCAAATTTGGTGCAACTGCTATAATTTATCATCCAGAAACACATTTTTGCCTATAATTCTTCGAAAACATCCCCAATTTTTGTGATTTTTTGGGGAAAGTCAGGTTCTAAAAGTCCTTCCAGACAAGTACCAAAACAATGAGTTTCATTTTGCACAGGCGGCGTAGACCTCAAAATGCCCACCTTACTCTGTAGCATCCCTTAGCTCAGTCGGTAAAGGTGCAGCTACAATGCAATACCTAGGACTAGGTTTGATTCCCGGTTCGGCTTCCCTGGGCATAGTGTATGATTGTACTTGCAATTATACTAATGCAAAAATGGTACAGGCATCGAAAACACTCAATTAATAACTGTGGAAGTGCATCTAGAACACTAAGTTGAGAGCACGCAATAAGTGATAAGCTTGAAATGCGAAGAAGAAGAAGAAGAAGAAGAAGAAGAAGAAGCCATCTTAATTGAAACTTTCGCCAAAGCTTTCATAACTTTCTAATACTCCGTTCACACTTCTGCCTATATTACGTAATTGAGATAATCATATCCGATTGTGTTGATGCACTGATGTAGTGATAACCCGCGAGTAATACATAACAAATCACTGTCAAACTCATTTTGGCAGATGGAATTATATGCATTTTGAGGTAAGCTAGACGTTAGTATTCGAGGAAAATAATAAACAACTTTACATGGTGATACACCTGTTAGTTGCTAATCTTATATATACTCCAACTGATATGTTTTTTTCGCTCTCGTACGTTCTCAATATCACGCGTGATATTGGAACAAAATATCATGTTTGTTATTGATTTTTCAAGCTTCTTCAATATTGATAGGCTATTCACAACATGTAAAACTGAAGCTGAGAGTTGCGCTTCGGCACAAAAATGATTCCGTTGCACATTTTTTTTTCTTAGAAACAGATAGTATAATTTGCTATCACTCTTTACTCTTCACCTGGCATCGGACGAAGATACTGCTGCCAGCGCAGTGACAGTGGTTTCAGGTCGCGTTCGGATGTAATATCATCCGCAGTTACATGCTTGATGATTATTGTCTACGAAAATCAAGCGTGATCTTGGGTATTGGTGAGATTTGATTTTTTGATATTTTCTCAAGACTGGACTTGATAAAAAGATACTCTAAATGACATTAGTTCCGGCGAAACATGGTGTGTGACCTATCATTTAATCATGTGTGAACGGGGTATAAAACTTTGGGTCCCAAACATTGTTAAAACCCAGACGAGAGAGCGAAAGCGGAACGACTTGAACAGTTTGCTATCGGTTTGCGCAAACTAGCTAGAGAATCGTTATTTCTGATTTATCCGAGAGTAAGAGATGTATGAAACGTTCTTTGGAATTCAAATCTCACAGGTTCATAACATTTCTTAAGGACATCGTGGATTTTTTTTAATTTAAGCGTCCGTTTTTGAAGATCTTTTCAGAAATCAGTATTCGTAGCTTTATAAGTTCTGTTGATAGCTAACCTTGGTTATTTCAAAGCATTTTTCAGAATCCAGTATCATAAATTAGTCGATAACCAGTTCCAAATGTACCATCGAATGGACCGCACCGATTTGCATTGAGCTGAGAAGTGTATATTATTTTTCTATTGCATTTTTTTTCACGACATGAGCCAGTTTAACGTAGGATAGGAATATGTCGATGCCAGATAAAATTTAAGAAGCGATCGGATCGGTTAGAACAGAAGATCGATATTTAATGTGAGGCAAACTTTTATTGGGACAGAAAATAACAACCAAAACATCTCATATACTCAACAAAGATTTAAAACAAAGAACTATATGCAAGAAATTAGATGAACTTACACCTTCGGCTTGAAAAAAGAAGGCTTCCGTAAGCCTACCTAAAGAAAAAAAAATGCAGAAAACAAATAACGAAACCTACATTTTTGAATGAACGTACTCCCGTAGAAAACTTGTAACTTTTTAAGCATATATACATAGAAGAAAAAAATAATGGTAAACTACAACAACACAAGCAGCTAAAATGGTAGAATAAGCTTCATTTGTTCACAGCACTTTCAGTTTGGTTTCGATCGGTCTGTGTTTATGTTTGACTAAACACTCTTTAACTGACAACGTAGAATGAGTTAGACTATTTATCTAAATCTATAACCCAATAGGAGCGAACACATGTTAGATGCCTGTTTACTTGTCTGTATAGACTGCTTAAGTTACTTTTTATTTCTGGAGAAAAGCTGAAAAAGGAAAAACAAAAAATCAAAAACATCAAATCTGTTGCTGATTGGAGAGAATAGCAAAGAAGAACAAAACCCGCCAGTTTATTTTCTATAATAGATTTATTTACAGCAAAAAGAAAGCGTAGCATGAATGTATATATCGATAAAAACAAGGAAAATTATTCTCTCTATTTTATGTTATATGAATTACTCATATATAAAAGAGGTAATTATCAATAAAAACTGATAAAAACACAACCGCAGAGCTCATTGCTTCTCTTCCGATTCGTCCCGATGGTCCTTGAGATGGTCAGCGTTCCTAAGCAATTTATTCAACCGCCTGCCAATAAGTTTCGGATATTGATTGTGTTTTATGAGAAACTCCTTGGACTGATGTGTAACGGCACCCTTTTCCAGCTGGAACTGACACAGAGCATGAAGAGGTTGGAGCAGCTGCTGCCGATAGCAGTTGTCCTGCTCAAGAATGCTCAGGGCTTCGATAGCAGTTTCCAGGGTGCTAAGGCAACCGTCGGTTGGTTGGGTTCGGATGATGTAGCTACTGTTACCGGAGCTGATGAGCTTCACCTGGCGCATACCGTGCAGAATAGATGAACTGGTGTAAATGGCTTTCGCCTGGGGCCACGTTCCATCGAGCAGAATAAGGTTGTAGGGTCCCTCGGATAGGTCCAACTGTTCGATGGGAATCGAATTAACGCTCGGGTAGAGCAGGACCGAATTCTTGGCCGAGAGAATAGCTTCCAGCTCCGAGTCAAATTTTGGGAACTTTTTTCCTGAGGAGATTGAAGATACAAGTACAGGAAAGATCATTTCTATGATTGAGGGAATGGCTAAAGTTTAATGAATTCTTGCAGTTTCCTTGAAATCAGATCGTTGAATTTAATTTTTGAAAATTAAATTGAGCAATTTGACAGTGAGCGATCATAAGGGCCTAATGATCGATTCTCTTCGTTAATTTTCTCTTTTGTTAATAACTCGGCGTCACTTTTCAAATAGACCAATCGATTCTCTTCATCGATTCTCTCGTTCGTAAATAACTCGGTTATCAAAAAGTTTCCTGTCATTTTTGTCATATTAGATGCTGGATTGTTACTTCTTCCACAGATCTGTGTGCCGAAAATACCTGGAAATATCTTAACACGGCCGTGGCGATCCTAAGTGAAAGTCGATTAAGGCTCTGAACCATTTGGTGGATTATTTTAACTTTTGGTTAAAATTTGACAGATGGAAAGTTATCGATTAACCCTGCTATCCGAGCATGGTTACTTTTGACAGACAAGAAGTTAAATTTTGACAACCTTGGGTCGAAAACCGGTCGATCGACAGCACGGGGATTTTCGAACATAGAAAATAACTTTCGAAATGTCACTTTTAACCACGAGTTAAATTTAACTCGGCAAATGGTTCACAGCCTAAGAGAATCGATCAATGTAGATAGTACCAGGGGTTGAAACGGTTGACGCTTTTTACTACACTCGCTTCGTTGTCGTGCACGACAGTCTGTATTCGTGCACTCATGCTCTACCGTCGACTCTCTCGCACAACACAGACGGTAGAATAATATTAAAAAAAAAAATCAAATAATTATCATAATACGACAATTCGACAGTGAGCATGCATAAGAGCCTACATGCGATGATCGATTCTCTTCCGGTGACTCTTTTGTTAATAACTCGCTTGGATTAACATTTTTCGGTGCGTTTTCTGTTGCTTGCTTCTGATAGCCAATACAACCTGCTACAGCACTATATTGGACATATTTCAGAAAATTGCTTTCCTTAGCTGTAGCAAAAAAGGAGAAAATCGATGAAGATAATCAATCATCGATTTCGTTCTAATTCTTCTTTTTTTTTGTAAATTAAACCATTTGAGGGGGTTAGAAGGAAAGGAGTGTAAGTGACTTTGATCGATTCTTTTCATCAACTTTCTCTTTTGATAGCCACAGCTTTATAAACAGATTTTGCGCTATTTCTGCCACATAGTTTGATAAAGGAGGTTCTCATCTAGCATCCAAAATGGTACTCGAATCAAGGAATATGTTTGCAACTAAATTATTAACGAAAGAGAAACTCGATGAAGAGAATCGATCAAAGTCATTTACACCCCTTTCCTTCTAACCTCCTCATTTCTGATCAGAAATATTATCACTAAATCATCCTTGATTGCTATAGCATATATTTTCAGAAATCACACAATGACAGAGAGTGTCATATTACATTTTAGTTTGGTACTGTACTTTGATAGCTTGTTTAGTAAAGGTCGGAAGCAAAGGCAGTCAATTATGACAAAAAATACGTCGACTACGGTGACCGCTTACAACACTGGATAGGACCTATTGAAAAATGACGCGAGATTTCTCGGTGCGTTTGCAGTTGCTTTTGACAACCAATACAACTAGTTGAAGCACTGTATTGGACAAATTTCAGAAAATTGCTTCTCTTAGCTGTAGCAATTTGAAGAGAAAATCGATGCAGAGAATCGATCATCACAGTAAGGCCCTCATGCATACTCACGGTCGAATTAACGATTTGTTAACGATTGTGCGAAATAAAGAAGTGCATGATATGTTCGCCCAACTTTATATACCCTTCTTACAAAGAACGTAAAAGAAAAAAATATTTTAAGTTAAGAGACCAGAAAAGTATAAAGTTGAAGCACGGACAAATCGACATGAATGACCATTTGCAAAAACAATAAAATTTCTGACCAAAGCACACTGCTGACATCTTGCTCCGTATTCGCGGGAAACATTCAGCTAAGCCATGAATTTGCATGCAAAAGTTTTGAATTGGTTCGTGTCTGATCTATTCTGGACACATTATTTTTATCTAGATAAAAAAAATCCTATGCTTTTGACAGTTCGGATCACTGCACATTTAAATCGACCGTTTACGATTTTCGGGCATAAGTCAGAATTAAGTGTCATGTCGGTTTGTCGGTGGTTGAAGTATTTAAACTTTTTGACTTCTGTAGAATGATTTATAAAGTACCGAATACAGAAGTTCTTCTGCACGGGAAAAAAAGAATTCCCATATTCGTGAACCATAGTTCACGGTTTAAATTTTAGAAAATTTTGTTCTGGATAGCTGGCCGTGATTTTTAGTTCACGGTCCGTTCCCGTTTTCGGGAACGGATTTTTTTCCGAGTGGCTTCAACGATAACTCTTTTTGACTTGCACTGGAAGGTTCATCGAACTTCTTCAGCAAGTTTCATGAAGATTTTATTACAAGTTTCTAAATATTAAACCGATTAAACTTGCCCAGAAGTTTTTTCGACATCCCCAGAAGTTTCTTCCGATTTTAAACGCTGTCCAGACTGAGCAGTTATAACATGTTATAACGGTTATCAATAATTGCAACACAGAAACCACCATCAAGATAGCGCTATAACATGTTATAACTCTGTAGTCTGAACGTACTATTAGTTTGTTTGGCTTCGCACATAAATGTCTCCTAATTTCCCCGATAGTTTTTCCTTTCCTACCCTGGGAATTTTTTCATGCTTCCATTGGAAACTTCTTCCGAATTGTTCTGGAACGTTCTTTCAGATTTACCAGAGAAGATCTTCAGTTAATCCATATATTCTCCGTAGAAGTTCATTTTGGCTCCTCTGAAAAATTTCTTGACAATTTCACCCAACATTCTTTCTAAATTTATTTCCCGGGAAATTGGAACACATTCCCGGGGATCGGGAAATGTGATTTTTGGTAAATTTCACGTGAATTGTATCCCGAGATGATTTGGCACAACTCAATTGTTCTCTTCTAAACATTGTTCAGAAGGCACACATTTTACGTTCAGGTTGCAATTTTTCAATTCCCAACTATAAAGTTCCTCCGGTGTTTCATTAGTTGCGCCCTGGAAGCTCTCGTCGCCAATCTCGTCAATGCTCCCCGGGGTTCGGAAAATCATTCTTAAATCTCATTTATTGAACCTCTCTGAGAGACGTGCGAATCTGGCAAACAAATCTCACGCTTGAGATTATCATGCATTTCCACGTACTCACACTCACAACGCCTAAAACTCATAAAAACCGCTCAAACGTCAAATGATAGCATGCTCATGCATGTTGTGTTAGATTTTTATCCACTGATGCAAGGAATCAAAAATATCTCCAAATGACAAAATGACAAGCGATCAACGAACCGAATGATAACGCTATGTCAGAAGTGGAAAGCAATAATGATATACCTAATCTTCTTCCTTTTTTCATGACAAGCAGCCCGTGCGACACAGCTCACTCGGGACAGTAGAAGGAAACGAGCAAATTTTTGGCAAGCTGCTTCACGAAGTAAAACCAAAGGTGATACACGTATGGGGATTTTTTTGTTATGTCTTTTATCGATTCAGATCAAGCTATGTCCTCATCCGTGTATATTGCAACAAAGCAGGCAAGCAATATATAATTATCCTTCTACCACTCCGATCGAGCTATCCTAACAAACAATTTTAGCTGCAGACTAGCTTATACAGGTAAAAACTAGCTGTATAAGCAAATTTTTTGCTGTATAAGCTAATCTGCAGCTAAAATTGTTAGTTGGGATACTACAGATCGAGTTTGTCATGGTAGTTCGGAAAAACTCAAATCTCATGCTTGAGTTTATGCGCCTATGAGTTTTACCTTGCAAAATTCAACGTCGCAAAAATCACCGATGAGTCTTCAGGTTCAAACATTAATTGCTTTATAATTTGGCGTTATTCATTATTATTACTATTGTTTGTGCATTAGGGGTTGGAAAACTAACACAACATGCACAGGCATTATATCAATTGACGCTTGAGTGGTTTGTATGAGTTTAAAGTTGGAATGATTTTTCGGCGTTGTGAGTGTGAGTGCGTGAATATGCATGAGAATCTCAAGCGTGAATTTTGTTTGCCACATTCCTACGCGAGTTTATTCTTGCAGACAGGCTAAATGAATGAGATTTGATAATGATTTTCCGAACACTGATCGTTAGTTGCTGTATGTGTTTGGATTCGCTGGACAAGAGTAATAACAATGAATAACGCCAAAATATAAAGCAATGTTTTTTTTAGCCTGAAAACTCATCGGTGAATTTTGCACAGTTCAATTTTGCGAGGTAAAACTCATATGCAAATAAACTCACGCATGAGATTTGAGTTTTATTTTTTTTTTTGTTTTTTTGCGGTCCCCAGAAATCCATTGTTCGGTCCCTTGCCATGCGCCGTGGCAAAATAATGCCCAGTTAACGAAACAATAGTTTTTGTACAAATCAGCACCACAACAACGGCTTCAGCTTCGTGGAGGTTATCACCTGCTACCAGGTGTGAATTTGTATCACTTTGCCTTTCGCGCCGCGATGTAGTAGTGGTTTCGCACTTTAGTGATAGATTATAGGTAAACGTTCAGTCTCTTAGCTTACACTCAAAGGAAATCAATTATTTAGTTTATAAGAGTTGACTTATTCTTATCATTATCTTACATTATTTAGCACTCACATTGCATTCATGAAGGCACATATAGTAACCAAATTAAATTCTATTGAAATGTATAAGTCATATGTTATGAGCAGCGAATCCAAACCACAGAGAACAGACATCCAAGCTTAAACAAATTTTTCGAAAAATGATGTGTAAGAATTCAAATTATAATACGTTAGAAACACTTGCGCCGCCATACGGAATGTTGCGACTCGAGTTATCACTTTGTGCGATTAATGAGTAAACTGAACTAAAATTTGGGTTGACCTTATTGACCGTGTATTCAAATGAACTGTCAAACAGGGGATGGATATGGCTGTCATATCGCTTAAGTTTGCTGCGTACCGAACATCTGCAACGTTGTCAAAGCCCTGCTATCAAATCAGTTCGAAACAAACAAGACAAAACAACGGAAATCAATCGAGTTGTGTGGTCAATGTGGTAAGATTTGAACATTGCTTACCCTGCATTCGTTCTTCCAGGAATTCGAAAAGCCTCCGGGGAGAAGTGGTCGGAACATAACTTTTTCGTTGCAAGCGCTTGGACTCCATGTTAGAAGAATACCTCCTGTAGTTCGGGCAATTCAGCATCCTTAGGACAGTTGTGAAAAGATTTTCGCTTGGTAACACCTTGTTTATTTGCGCACCAATAAAACTCGCACTTGCGGCCAATGTTTTGATCGGTTTTAAACAAATGTTTTGCTCACAACAATTTTGACATTTATGTTAAGATGACGTCTGCGATGGGCAGCAACACTAGCGCCACCACTTTATCGCTAGTTTCAAATGTCTATTCAATAGAGCAGTTAAATTTCTTACACACTTTAGGAATTTGACTTGGATGTCTGTTCTCTCAAACACATAAAGCAACCTACGATACAAACAAAACGGTTGCGTCGACTACCATGACAAACTCGCACTGTAAAACAACTTGATCGGAGCGGTAGAAGGATAATGATATATTGCTTGCCTGCTTTGTTGCAACATACATGGATGAGGACATAGCTTCTGAATCGAGAAAAGACATACAAAAAAATTCCCATAACACACGTGTATCATCTTCGGCTTTACTTCGTGAAGCAGCTTGCCAACAATTTGCTCGTTTCCTTCTACCGCCCTGAGTGAGCTGTGTCGCACAGGCTGCTTGTCATGAAAAAAAGGAAGAAGATTATATCATTATTGCTTTCCACTTCTGACATAGCGTTATCATTCCGTTCGTTGATCGCTTGTCATTTTGTCATTTGGAGATATTTTTGATTCCTTGGTTATGACCAAAAACTATAACTATTCACTTATACTTTCGACATGACACTGATTTGAAAAATTATAGTTATGTTTTGGCTGTGTCGCTAGGTAATAGTTCATACAATATTCTTCATTCCAATAATACATTTTTAAATCATCATTTGAACCCCAGAAATAAGACCAAAATATTCGGTCGGACATGCAAAAGAGACAAAGGCAGAAATTTTTTGATTAATATTCCCGTTAACTTATTATCTTTTAGCGATTTATGAAATGTATGCTACTCATTATTAATAAATACATCTTTTTCTTATTCACACTGATTATGTTTTTCCATATATCAGACCAATAATAAAAGTAAACAATATTGAAAATGAAGTAATGAAATTGGGTTGTTAGTGGAATGCTTCAAAAAAACAGCAAAAAAAGGGTTATCTTCCATGTAATTTGGTCTGAAATATACAAAAACATAAGAAGTGTGAATAAAAAAAATGTATGTATGTGGAGAAAATGGATGTAATGTCGGCCTAAATGCCCCTAATTTGGACCCATACATAAATTCAGCAATGGACTAAATTTTCAATAGCGACCAAAAATATCCATTAGTACACTCAAAAAATTTCACACGTTTGATCGAAGTGTTTAAACACTTGATTTTTTAAATGCAGAATCACATTTACTTTAAGTGTATTTCACCTTGGTTCAATGTGTTATACGTTAATTTATAGTGTTTCAAACTTTGAAATGTTGAAATTTTTTCACTATCTATTCAAGTGTATTGCACATTGAATCACGCTACTGTTCAAAACAGATGGATTTAAAGTGTTTTGCATTTCAATACGATGTGAATTGCTTGCTCAGAAAGGTAAACATCGAAAACAAGAGTTGTGACTTTTTCCTATCAACCCGCCTCATATATGAGAACAACCGTGGCACAGTGAGATCGAACGAAGACTCTGGCAGCAGCACACCCCAAAAGTTCATGATCGAATCCAAAATCAGACCCATTAAAAAGATATGTGAAAGCTCTGGCCTCTGGCAGTTTGTTTATATATTTGTCGATTCATTTTTAGAGTCGGTAAAGTAGAAGTCGATAAAGTAGAATATTGAACTATGGTGTGCAAAGCTATTGATATCACCATATGAGGCACATAGAATCCAAGTGTGTCACAATTCAAATCCATAGTGTTCAGGCATGGTTCATAGCACAAGATTCACACATGAAATGGATATGTTTCACAATAAGCGCAAAATTAAGTGTGAGATACATGATGATGGCGTGTGGAATTTTTTGAGTGTACTTTCCCAATGACGCGTTCATCTAGATAAAATTGATAAATCTAGATAGAGCTGGAATTAGGGCCTAATAGCTTTTGTAAACTATGACTTCTCTTGATGATTTCTAGAAATTTAAGGCTCGCCCACGCAAACCAACATCCTCATCGGGTAGGGAAAGACTTCCCCTATCCGATGGTTAGGTTGGTCTGCGTGAACGTGCCTTGAATTCCTAGAAATCATCGACGGAAGTCATTAACATTGGAGCCATTTCCCCTATAATGTGACACAACGATAGGCGATGCCCAAAGAATTCGAAAAGTTTTTCCTCTCCTTGGTAATACCGTGCCTTTACTGACTAGGCTATCTGAGGCCCCATCATTTCTGCGATAACATATTACACTCTGATTACCTTTATAAATAAGACACTTTCCGAGCGCCAACCCCACCGATAGCATCGGTGCCGTACGGAGAGCTCGCTTCTCTTCGGCCGGGTGCTGTAGCAAAATCACCCGACTCTTGGGAACGAGTGGTTTCGGGGGCAGTGCTGAGCACCAGCAAACCGGCACTGGCCGTCTGAAATTTGTTTTAATTTTTATTGAGATCAATATTCGTAAGATAGCCCTCTGTATCGGATTAACTCACTTGCAATTACAGCAAATCTCACGCATTTTGGGAGGATCAGCCGGAATGTTGGCCAGGTCCGCCCAAACATCACTTTCGGCATAGAGATCGTTCATGTTCACTAATTAATTAAAGATCTAGAGTAACGAAACACGTTTGAGTACGGTAAAATTCAATCATATCACTTCATTCGGGTGTTTGTTGTTGTTTACATTTTTTCAGATGCATTTTGTGCCATTAATCTCTTTTTGTCCTGACGTTTCAGTGACGTCTTATGATGTTTGCCATATTTTTACCAGGGTTCTTTGGTTTGAGTCTTCGGTAAAACGTGGTGCTATAAATTCAGTGCCAACATTTCAAAGGGGCGTAATTGCATTTGTAAACAATGGCTTTAGCCGTCGATTTCTCGCGAATAAAAGCACACTCATGAAAAATAATCACACCAGCAGGTAGAGGAATGTTTCCTCTACCAGTTAGCATTGTCATTTTGGAGAGGTAAGATTTCATTCGCGAGAAATTGACGGCTAAAGTCATTGTTTACAAAAGCAATTACGCCCCTTTGAAATGTTGGCACTGAATTTATGAGTTCACTGAAAACGAACACGGCGAATGAGAACGACCCAAATTTGAGTTTAGTTCAGGAACTCAGCGATGAGTAAAATTTGTCTCATGGTTTCCTGTGGAAAACCTAAAAAATCTGCCGGAAAATCAGGAAATTGACGAAAATTTTATTCAGTCTCGGAGTAATACCAATAGACTGAGTGAATCCAATCTTTACTTTTCCCAAATTCGGGAATTTTTCCCTGGAAAATCCTGGAAATACCTGGGAAAAAATGAGGCAAATTTACTCATTGCTGAGTTCCTGCACTTTTGGCGATTATGAGAGAACTAAACTCAAATTTGGCATTCGCCGTGTACACTTTTGGTGATTATGAGTGAACTAAACTCAAATTTGGAACGTTCTCATTCGCCGTGTCAACTTGTTACTCCCAAAATAGTTTCCCCATTTTTGGGTAGGTTCAGTATCGACCGATCTGGGTGGATTCTACCCAAATTTGGGAAATTTAACGTGTACTGCATAAGCTGTGATAAAAACTAGGACAGGTCAGAAAAATCCACTTCGCATGGTAGAATTGACAAACGCTTGCGTTTAGTTAGATTACGAAGAGCCCGAAAAAATATATATAATAAAACAACGAAATTACAATGATTTCCACTGTTTGATTTCGAGTACATAAAAATTTATTGTTAAATGATTGCACGGGAGAAAAAATAAATTTCGATTTTAACCGATACAATGCTCAAACAATGAAAATTAATGTAATGAGATCAAATTTGTTCGAGAAAAATCAGTTTTTTTTTTATTGTTAAGATGCTTAAGAACCCCCTTTTTTTACTGTAAATTTCTCAAATACCATGATTTTGTCTGTGCCATGATTTTCGTTGTTGTGAACCATGAATTTCGTTGTGATTTTATGGTATAATCGATAGAAATGTCCAATGTTTTGACAATTAATATTATGGTTACAATGACAATGAAAACCGGTGTATTTTAATTGGATTTTTTTTACAGTAGGCACTTTGTTCTTAGTTTGGCCGTACTGCTAGCAGTCAGTAATTTAATGGCAATGGAACTTGGAAAAATCTAATTGACATCGCTCCGTTGGACGATGAGTGGCAAGAAATGGGTGTGAATGATTGATTTTAATTTATTTGTTCATTTCTATCCACATACCATAGAACCAACGTAGAACCCCGTTAGTTTGAATAGAGAAAATGGTAATTACACGGCGCTCATTTAGAATTTGTTTAACTGGTACCGCTGCACAGGTACGTAACGTCATTGTACGTAACGTCATTGGGCACCTGTGTAGGGGTACCAATTAAACAAATTCTAAATGAGCACCGTTTAATTGTCATTTTAGCTATTTAAACCAAGGGGTGGAGCTGGCTGTCAAATACGAATAATCGTCGCCTACACGGCAAGAAAAAAAATACTCAAAATTAAGTTTAAAAAAACTCAACGTTGAGTTCTATCATTTGAGGTCTGCCGTTGAGTGAATCAGAAAAGCGGCGTTGGTTAAAATTTACTCAACTATTGAGTAATAATAAATGAACTCAAATATAAGTTTATTTTCATTGAGGTTGCTCTTATGCGTCTTTAACCATTTCAGTTTTACAAGCGTTGATAGACGAGTGGTCAACACACGGGCCCCGTAATCTCAACGTCCATGGTTCGGTTCCAGTCTGCTCCGTTTTATTATTTTTTTGTCAACTTGGTCAACGATCAGGATTACTCAAAATTGAGTTTTCTTCTTTAACTTAATTTTACCTAGCCCCACGGAAGCCACGTGATGAGTGAAAGGAACTCAATTTTGGGTACTTTTTTCTTACCGTGTACCTCGCATAACTGGTTCCAAACGTAAACAAGCCATAAGAAACCTATAGCGTTTGTTTACGTTTGGAACCAGTTTCATACAAGTATGATCAGTAGGCTGATTTGACAGTACGTCCCCCCCCCCAGATATAAACTAACGGGTATTTGGAAAATAACATGCAACGAAGCTGACCAACCATGTACACTCGAAAATATTACTCATCTATCATAGTGTAAAATTTAAGCTTCATTCGATTAAGCTGCATATACCCCTTGCTATGATTAAAAAGTTACCAGTTTTAGATTTTTATGGTGAGTCAATGGTAAAGTAAGTTGAATTATGAAACTCTGCTTCATCATATTTTGTGTTTCAGATTTTAGAAATATTACTTGGCAATGCTTTTTGAACCAACGCTACATCCACTACGGAGGACGGAGGCAAGAGTAGCAGAACTTCGTAAATCTGATCGAGCAATATACTTCGAAAAGGCTGGATACGCGTTTCTCCATATTCACGGGAACGCATTTTCGTTCCGAGACGAAATCTATCAAAGGTAGTCAGACACCCCACAAATACAACGGTCACACATCTGAAGAAACAAAAGGAGTACATGGGATGTACTGGGAATCATCCTGGATTATCTGATCACTCGTGTGGTGGCCGATGACTTCGGAATTAACTGACTCGTGAAGCACGCCCTAATAAAATTAACCATAAAAGCGAGCTTAACGACATGTTCGGGGTATCATCCAAACCATTTGTGGGATAGTTTACCCATCCGGGATACAGTTCGTTTATGGTATTTGTTTATTAGGGCGCACTTCAAGGAGAATCTCGAGCATACCATTGAGGTGACTCTAAGACCAGAAGGTCCCGACGAAACGTGCTCAACTTTTTGGCTCAGCTCTGGTACTATCTTCGATCCCAAGCTAATCGATGCATCGAAGCTCGATACATAGGAAAATCCACAAACACCTCATTTTATCTGTCAAACTTTCATAGCGAATAAAATTTAAAAAGTGTAGTACTAGAATTTCGACTAGAATGGGGAACGTTAATCGATTTGCTTGGAACCAATAGGCTAGTCAAGTAGTGAGCCAATTTAAAATCGTTAACAATCAATACGAAACTATCGCTTTTAAATTGGCTCACTACTTGACTAGCCTATTGGTTCCAAGCAAATCGATTAACGTTCCCCATTCTAGTCGAAATTCTAGTACTACACAATGTTTGTTTTGATTCGCTATGAAAGTTTGACAGATAAATGAGGGGTTAGTGGATTTTCCTATGTTTCGAGGGGTGAATCGATTAGCTTGGGACCGAAGAGAGTACCAGCACAAACAAAGTGACAGACGGAGCGGCTCGAAAACTTTGGTGACTAACCTGCTATTGCAATTTTTCAGTGTACCACATGGCAATACCACTACTACTGGATAGTACCACATGGCAACACTACTACTGGATTGTACTAGCATTTTCACCAAATGTATTAGAATGTTTTGGTTCTATCTCTTTCACTCTACTTAAAACTGAAATGCATAAAAAAAAATGACAAAATTATACACTCTTTGCACACTGTCAAAGAATCATTGTACACAAAATCAACTTTGTTCAAATCAAAACAAAAAAACTAACCCATCTGGTGGATGATGGCACAAGCTTCCAAGAAAATTCTATTACAGTGAACCACATTATTTTAATTGATTTCTTCGCCAGTTAGTCGTCTGTCACTTCGTTTGTGGTACCAGAGCTGAGCCAAAAAGTTGAGCACGTTATTTCGGGACCTTCAAGTCTTAGAGTTACCTCTATGGTATTACCACCGACAAACCGACATGAAACTTAAACTTAACTCTTGATCGAGAATCCATAACGGCGTATTCAAATGTGCAGCGATCCCATCTGTCAAAACCATAGAAATTTGTTATCTAGATAAAAATAATTTGCCCGGAATAGATTAGACACGAACCAACTCATACATTGTGTATGCGTGTTCGTGGCTAGGATACACATTTTTCGCGAACACGGTGGCAGATGTCAGTTTTGTGCTTTGATCATAAACTTGATGATACTTTGTATGGTCATTAGACTGATGCAAAATTTGAAATTTTCGCTCCACAGTGCTCAAACGGCTTTAAATCAGGTCCTGATTAGCCTCCCAAAATTTAAACTCATTTGGTAAGAAACTGACTTGACACAAATCATTCGAAGTTTATATGGAAATTACTATGGAAAAACCAAACTTTTTGTTCATTGTCTTCTACCCATTTTCCATATTGCCTTTTCGAAAAGTTCTATAACTAATCTTACGAGATTTTTTCTAAGCTACAACTTTGCGGAATATCGTTTTTCAGCCAAATGTAAAATTAAATAGTTATTAATTGTTTAAGAGATTGACAATCTTATGACATGATCAAACAGCTGTTCTGTGGACAACACTGTATTCTGCAGTGTGACATAGTAGCCATGATATTTGTGCTCTATTCTTCGCACCAGAAACACCAATGTTGCCTGCTGAACAGTTGAATGAGCATAATAGCACATCAGTGACTTGAATCATTAATAACTTTTGTTTCGTGCATTTGATTGAAAAGTGGTTTTGAATAAAGTTGTAGCTGAGAAAATTTGCTACAATAGCTCCTATCATTTTTAAAAGCACAGTGATGTGGTGAATTGTTAGATAGATATGAACAAAAACATAAGTTTTCCCATAGTAATTCCCATATAAACTTGAAATGGTTTGTGCCAAGTCAGTTTCTTACTAAAGTAGTTC